TACTACTAACTACTACTACTACTACTACTACTACACTAATTACTACTACTGCTATTACTACCACTACTACTACTACTACTACTACTACTACTACTACTACTACTACTACTACTACTACTACTACTACTACTACTACTATTACTACTACTGCTATTACTACCACTACTACTACTACTACTACTACTACTACTACTACTACTACTACTACTACTACTACTACTACTACTACTACTACTACCACTCCTACTGTTGAGTGCACATCGAGAGTACAAGAACTCACTGCTTGGGGTCGATGCTGGCCATCGCTGTATTGCGGCAGACGCGCATCCACACGCAACCGCGTGTATGCATGCATATGTGCATGCGCGCGTGTGTCGACGCGCGGGCGCACGCGCAGATGCAGCCGCGCGAACGTGTAGCCGCACGCGTACAAGTGCGCGCGGCAAGTGCGCGAGCACGCGTACGCGTGCTCGCGGGCATACGTGCGGCAGAAGGTCCTCTCTTCCAGGCGTTCCGGAAGATTCCAAGACTGAGCGCTTCACTTTAAAGGTGCCGATTCTTCGCAGCACATGTGATTGACAAGAGAACTCGTGAAGTGTAAAGGAGCAGGAGGCCTCGGATGCACCAGGATACCAAAAGAGAAGCCATAGCACACTCAAACGCACATGATTACGACACCCAGCGCCTCCTCTGGGGACACGCGGCTGCAAGGCGACGCGACGTGCGAGTGGCTGCGCAGGACGGTCGAATGCAAGCACAGACGGAGCAAGAAAGGGCAGCAAGATCGACCTTTTTGCAGCGCGCCAGTCGGGAGGCGCCACGGACGCGGCGCCCACCGGAGGCACCAGCTCCAGGCCCCCGTGGCTGGCCAGCAGCAGCAGGAGCTCGCGGACCCGCGCCGGCGGCCCAGGCACGCTCTCCTCCCCGAAGGCGCGGCCGGCCGCACCCGTGTGCATGCCGAGGCAGAAGCGCGCCGACTCCAGCATTAAGTCGGGCATGTCGCCCTACAGGCAGATCTTGGAGGAAAAATCCAAAATAGTCCAAAAAATACACCAAAAATGCTTAAAAATACTCGAAGAATCGTCCCCAGACGTTTTTTTTACCATTTTTGAATGTTCCTCCTGTAGAGGGGCAGGCCCGACTTAACTCCAGCATCCCGGCCCCCAGCCCCAAGAGCCGGTAGCCGTTCAGAAGCAGCGCCCCGTCCGGCGCAAGCAGCGCGGCCGCGGCCGCGCGCCGACGCCAGCGGGAGCCGCCGGGGTCGCTCAGGGCCTCGGCCCCGGGGCCCTCGGGGAGCGACGCCGGCATGTGGACCATGTAGTGTTCCTCGAACAGGTGCTCGCGCCAGGCCCAGAAGGACGCGAGCACCTCGTGTTCGGCGCCCTCCGACTGCGCCAGCGCACCGAGCTCCAGGGAGGCAAGGTCCACGCCGGCCCCACGGTCCCCGCAGACGGCTGGGGCAGTGCCAGGAGCCGCACCAGGGTCGGTGCGCGCCGCCGCCAGCACCCCCCGCGCCAGGGCCAGTAGCGCGCCACTCAGCGCCTCTGCCCGCACGCCGCGCGGCAGGTCATCTTGGTCGAGCGCGATCAGCAAAGGCCGCAGCGGGCCGCCAGCGAGCGTCGGCAGCTGCGCCAGGGCGCCCCAAGGGCCACCGTGGGCCAAATTGGCTGCGATGCGCTGGCGCCGCCACTCTGCGCGCTGCGCAGCCTCGCGCGCTACGCGACTTCTGGCGCCCCGCAGTTCGGAGCACGCGCCCAGCAGGCCAGCTCCTGTGAGAGGCGAACGCGATACGCTGATGGACAAATGCAGCGATGGCTCGCTGCCCTCGTTTCGTGCCTGGTGGGCCACGCCCTGTGGCAGGTAGAGCACGTCCCCGGGCGCCAGCGTGGCTTCGTGCAGGAGCGTGCGCATGTCGTCCTGGAACAGGGACCATATCTTCTCCCCGTGCTGCTGCACAACGAAGACGTCGTGCTCGTCCACGTGCGCCGCCTTTCCTGTAGCGAACGGGGGTGTGAGGTAGGCATTCACGCCACCAGAAATCCCTAACAGTGCCCACAGTGCATGGTGCAGATCCTGAATCTCAGGGCTCGCGCCCTGCACCTGGTTGAATACGAACGTCCAGTGGTCCCCCCTGTCCCTGAAGGCCTCGGCAGTGGAGAGGTCGCGCTCCCCCACGAACTTAGCGACCTGTGCCTCGTCGGCCACGTCCTCGTAAGAGCCGTGCAGGCAGCGGCACATAGAGGCGCTCCAGAATCGCAGAGGCCTGCCACCCTGCTCGCCCTTCAGGAACACCGACCGTGCAGAGCCGTACTGCCACATCCTCTGGGTGTGCTGCGCGCGGGCCGTCCACGGGTCGAAGTCACTCAGGAGCCCCAGCGCGTCCGCCACGGAGAAGCGGAGGCGGCGGAGGCCCCCGTTCCGCCGCAGGCGCCACCGCCGCCCGAGCGTGTTCCTGAAGAAGGCCTGTGCGTCCTCGCCGATGAGCCAGTAGACAGCGTCGGGCCCAGCGGGCTCCACGTCCGCGGCGGCCGTGCCCCCGCGACGGCGCGTCGCGGCCGCGCGCCAGCACTCCCCAGGCGCGCCGCACGCGCGCCAGGCGCCTGCCTCCAGCGCGGCCCCACGCATTCGGCGCGCCCTCAGGGCGCGCCGCCTCCAGCTTTGCGCGCTGTGAAGCCAGCCCCCAGGCAGGGCGACAGGCAGCGCTTGGGCCAGGCTACAGGCCTACGTATACACACGTGCGCACGCACGACAGATGCGCCGACCCGCGCCCTGACCCGTGCGACAGAAACGCCTGCTTAACCGCTGGAGGCAACTAGGCCTCTGAACGCACTGGCGTGCCAGGAAGTCCGCGTGCGCAGTGACGTGCCGAGGATTTGGAGACGTTGGCGCCCCACGCAGGCTGCGGGCCCCTTCCACAAGCCAGCCGAAGGGCGCTGCCACGTTCGCACTTCGGGCACGCTCGCGCGAACCCGCACCGCGTGAATCATAGACGGACTGTGCGCGGTCCTCCCGCCAGCAGGCACCCTCCAAAATGGTCTGAGAGGCCAACGGGATGCCATCACGATGGCGACGCGGCACGCAGACGGAAAGCTGGCAGAAGGCTCCGAAGAGATGCTTGGAATTCCCTCACGGGAGGCAGGGAGAGGGAGGGAGGGATGAAGGGGGAGGCTCGGATATGATGGGATCAGGGTGGAGGAGGCGCCCATACAGAACTGCTCTCAAAGGTGGGGAGTCGAGGTCCGAACGAGCGTCAAGAGAGGCAGAGGTACGCGGAGGCGACGACTGCATGCGACTGGCGGTGCGATGGAAGCGGCAGGGGAACGAGGGAGCCTGCTGGAGCGCAGGGCCAGAGCGCGCGCGCGGCAAAAATCACAAAACATCTGCGAAGCAAACTGCCACCGGCGCCGCGCAGAGCGCGGGCTGCTGCCGAACTCCTGCCGCCGCCGCCGTCACTGCTGTCGCTGCTGATCATGCTCCTGCTGCAGCTGGCGCTGCACCTCGTCCAGTTCCTATATACTCCTGCGCCCGCTCCAGTTCCCACTGCTGCCCTCACTCCTGCGGCAGGTCCTCCTCGTCCTCCTCGGACGAGAGGTGGTGAAGAAGGGGGGGCTGGAAGCCTGGAGAGCCAGAGAGCTGGGGCATCAGAGAGAGGGAGGAGGACTGTGGGAGGCGGGAGGCCGAGAGAGAGAGAGAGACAGAGAGAGAGAGGTAGGTATGCAGAGAGGGAGTGAGGGAGCGAGAGAGGAGTCAGACAGAGGGATGAGGGGGAGGAGCGAGGCTGCCAGCTTAGTATTACGACAGCCACCTGCTGAGGCGTGCCTCCAGAAGCGCGGGTGAGCAGCACGATCAATACAAAGTTGGCAGCGCATCTGCCAGTGCTCGCACAGCAGAGGCCGCGAGTTGCTTAAGAGGTAGCGTGCACACCGCAAACTTCATCGGTGCACTCGTACGTCTGACATCGTACGTGGCACACTGTCAGTTCGTGCGCAACCCGATTTCTCTCGGGCGAGAGGGGCCGGGAGGGCGAAGGAGGGGGGAGGAGACAGAGGTATGGGAATGGGGGAGGGGGGCGGTGTTTGGGAAGCGAGGGCGGCGAGGTGGAGGGCAAGGGAAAGAGGAAGGGGAAGGCCAAGCGAGAGGGGGGGGGGAACGCCTGGAGGGGGGGAGAAGATGAGCAAGTTGAGGGGGGAAAGGGGCGGGGAGAAGGGCAGGGGGGAAGGGGAGAAAAGGGCAGGGGGAAGGGAGAGGGAGGAGGAGAGCGAGGGCAAAGGAGCAGAGTGATGGAGAGAATTGAGAATCGGGGGCAGGGAGAAGGAGAAGTGGAGAGGGGATGTATGATGCTCTTATCCTCACCCTATCCCCTCCTCCTACCCCCCCCCTCCCACGCGAACCCTCTGGGTCCCTTTGCCCAGGTCCTCCAAAAAAACGTGTCTTCTCCCCCCCCATCCCCCCCCTCCACCTCCTCCTCCGCTTGCTCCTCCTCCTCCTCCTTCCTCTTTATCCCCGCCCTTCTCTTCCTCCTCTTCCTCCTCCTCCTCCTCCTTCTCTGCCTCGTCCTCCTGCTCTGTCCTCCCCATCGTCATCTTCCTCGTCTTCTTTATCCCACTCCTGTCCTCCTCCATTCCTTGTCCTCATAAACAACTCCTCCCTGTCCCACCCCGAGGCAGGTCAGAAGGGCGGGCCGGGCGTTGCGCTTGAAACTTCCTCCCGGATTATGATCCTGAATATTACAAGCTGGTAAGAGCTTCACAAGGGGGGAGGGCGGTTGTCAAAATGTGGCTCTCGCCTTAGAGCAGCGCACACCCGTCTTAACAATTTGCAAGAAATTTACTGGTTGAGGGCGGATCGTTTGAGCGCCGGCACAGTTTAATAATGCAAGATTTTTACTGACTGATAATGGTTCCTTTTCAAAGTGTGGCTCTCGCCTTAGCGCCGCGCACATTCATCTTAGACATTGGCAAGAATTTCACGGGCTCCCATAGCTAACACGTACCAGATATTGCATGTTGGAACGATTCGGGACTGCCAGGGCGGAACAGTTACAGTGATTCGAGTTTTTGAAATTCCAGGAACGGTGTTCTGGCACGATTCAAGATCGTCAAGACGCAACATTCAGTTTCATTCGTGGCGTTGGGGTCCCGAGGATGGTGTTTGGGCACGCTTCAGTATCTTCAAATAGTTGTCTCCCAACTGGGCACTTCCCTCAACGAATGCAAATGAACCCTTGCAGGGGCCTATGAAGAGGGAGCTTGGAAGGGAGGGTTTATCCCACCATCGTTAATGAGTCTTGGATTTACACTGGCCCTCCTCCTCCTCCTCATCATCATCATCAGCATCCCGTGCCCACACACACACACACGCACGCACGGACACACACACACATAGACGCGCGCGCGCGCACGCACGCACGCACGCACGCACGCACACACACAACACACACAAACAAACAAACAAACACACACACACACACACCCACACACACTCTCACACACACACACTCACACACACACACACCGACAACAACAACAAGAACAACAACAACAATAGCATCCCCCAGATTCCTCATATAGCCCATCATCTTCCTAGTCCTCTTCCGCTTCCGCCTCGTGCTCGTCCTCCTGCTCCTATTAATACCCCCTTCTCATCATGTTACTGATCATCCTAGTCGTCATCCTCATCATCCTCACCCGCATCCTCATCATTATCATAGTCATCATCCTCCCAGAATCATCACCATCATCAGCATCGTCGTTATCATTATGATAGTCATCGTCATCACCATCATCACCACCATCATTATCATCACTATCGTCAGTATCACCATCACAACCATCACCATCACTGCCATCACCATCACCATCACAATCACCATCATCAGCAGAAGCAGCATCATCATCACCACCATCACCACCATCATCATCATCATCAGCATCATCATCATCATCAGCATCATCATCATCATCATCATCATCATCATCATCATCATCATCATCATCATCATCATCATCATCCGTCTCTTCCTCATCACCCTCCCCATGAGTCATCATATTCCTCCTAGTCATCCTTCCCTCTCCTCACCAAATTCCTTGTAATCATCAGCCTCCCCTTCTTTCCCTATGATACCCCGGGGCACCCCAGAACCACATAGAACATGAAGACGGCCCGTGACAGCAATCTAGAGCCGGTTCATCGTCCGGCTCTTCGAAATCTCTGCTCATCTCTTGCGTCATCATCACTCTCCTGAGCACCATCATGTTCAACGCCAACGTCGTCATCATCGTCAACATCATCAGCATGATCATCAGCAGCAGCGCCAGCGTCGTCAACATCGTCGCCATCATTAACACAAACGTCATCATCATCAGCATCAACATCGTCATCGTCGATATCATCATTATGGTCGGCATCGTCATCAGCAGCATTACCAGCGGCATGTCATTGTCATCGTCAGCACCCCATCAGTACTATTAACGCATTACCCAACAAATCCACATCCACGTCATTCTCTTTCTCGTACACCTCATCGCCCCCCCTGCTTCCATGTCCCTCTTCACCACCCTCTCCCAAAGTATCCTCCACATCCTCCGCATGCTCAGCATCTCCATCCCCTTCATCAGTATCACCATACCGAGTATCCCCTCCGCATGCTCATTTTCGCCCTGCTACTCATAATGATCAGCATGACGAGCATCATCGGCAAAATCACGACCATGACACACATCCCTCCTTACCGCCCCCTGGTCCAACTCCTAATCGTCCACGTCATCCTCCTCATGCTCATCATCATTAGCATAATCAGCATCATCATGATCAACATCATCTTCACCATGACCGACGTCAACATCATCATCATCATCAGCAGCAGCAGCATCATCATCGTCATCGTCATCGTCATCATCAGAACCATCATCATCATCATCATCATCATCATCATCATCATCATCATCATCATCATCATCATCATCAGTAGCATCATCACCAGATAATCAT